TTGTTACTGAGATTCATAAATGTCTCTGCAAAAGTCGTAGTGTTGATAATGTAGATAAACTTTTTAATGATTTTTTTTGTAAGAGTTTGGTTGCATTTTATATATACATGTCCAGTTATTGTACAACACAAGATGATTTTATCATGTACATCAAATGGCCAAAGTGAATCAATTAAACAAGAGATGGGAGGAAGACCAGAATGTGTTAAAGATATCCAATTTTGAGCTAACAATTGCCGCACATTAATGTAACGATAAAATATTGATACAATTCCCATTGTAGGAACTGGAAAGTTGGACTTCTTTCTTGGATTCTATGTTTGAATATCAGTTCTTTGAAGAGCAATGGTATCACATTTAACAAGTCGTTTTTTCCTTCGGGGAATCCGAGTAAAATCTGTTGTTTGGTAAATTGTATCCAAACATATATTTTTGTAAAAATCCAAATCATCAGATCCTGCCAGATCGGTGTTACCCTGCAACAATTGGAAAAGATATGCGGAGCCGCTTCTGGTTCAATTGAACAATAGCTGCAAGTATCATTGCTGTTATTCCCTTTTTTACAAATCTAGAATTAGTAGGTAAAATGTGATGCAAGATGTTATACTGAAACCATTCCAAAGAAGTATCACGTGAACATCTGAAAGGTACATGGCCGTAGAAAGGCAAGATTTCGCCAAACATATATTTTTATCTAGGATTGCTTCTAATTTTCTACAATGTTGATTACTCTTTAAGCTTTGCTTTTCGAAATTTATATTCTGTAGTAATACTGAGTTTCTTTTTTTGTTTTTAATACATTATATATGAAATAAGGCAAAACAAGATATTTTTTTAGGTCAGTGGAGTTCAGAATCCAGCTAATTTTGATTTAGCTTACAACTCACCTGTATTTAACTGATACTTATTAGAAAACTTTGACAGGTCAAAACATGTCCCGAAAAATCTTAAATATTATTTTGGTATCAAATTCCCTCTTCATTCCATCTTGGGTAGTAGATTGTTGTCATTTCGGATATTTCATTGTACCAAATATTTTCGGGTTTTAAACTAGTGCTGAGAGTTTCCGAAGAGTTTGAACTGGCTGTAAAGTCCCAACAAGTAGAAAGGATATCACTGTAATAGTTATCTCGTACTAATTGCACAATAACATTCTTTAGATTTTGACAATTTTATTGAAACATTATTTCGGAACTAAGGCAGATTCATAGCAACAAGCTGGTCCCACTTCGAAGACTGTTTAAAGAATCTCCTTATATTTGTTCATTTTTTAGACTGTATTATTTCTTTCAGTTTAGGATCATTTAAGTGACCATTGTTTTAAATGCGAAAACTAGCTGTTCTCTCTTCGTCTTGTTTCCTCCCCCATATACATCCAAAACACTTACGTTGGAAATCTTCAATAAGTCTTTTTCCCTGCGGAGTTGGAAGAGATGAAAACAAGTGACTGAGTTTTGGAATGAAATGCAATGTTAGAAAAGTGTTTCTGTTAGGATATGATAAGTTATGAGTTAACCAAATTTGATTACAAGTAATTCATATGTGCTCTGATCCAAGTTCTGTTTCCATTAAGAGGACGTCTTTTTTCTGACCTGCACATATAATTCTTGTTTTATCTATATTTACTGTTATATCGGAGAGTCTAGCAAAATAAGTTAGCACTTTCACAACTGGTCGTAGACAATGTTCTCAATCATCTAAAGTATAGGTTGTGTCGCCTGCAAACTGATCTAAGAGATATTCTACGTTACCGATGTATATTCCTTTTCATAATGGCGAGACTTTCAGGACAATATACATTTATGATCCTCATTTAATCCTATGATAAATAATAAATGATGAAACTTAGTAAACTGCAGACAGCAATGAGATAGGACGCGTACGCCATCTTCAAAAAAATATTGTTTCGGCTTATTGCCTTTTTGATTAAATTAAACCATTTTTTTTAATTACAGTTAACTTGTTATCTACATAGGTTTGATTTATAGGGCGGATAAGAAATGTTCTTAAGTCATTCCAATAAGAACTTCAGAAACTCGTTAGTAAATCTACCAGTGCCTAGACTTTTCTAATTGTTTAAACAATTCAGACCCCTTACAACTTCTTCATATGCGTAATCACCTTCAAGTTGTGATGCTTGCTCATCACGTAATTTTTAGAATCATAACATTGTAATAGTGACTCAATGTCAACATCATAAATGGCTTGTTTACCCTACAGACTGAGAAGGAAAGAGCGGACATGTTCACCTGTTTATCAAGTTAATCTCCATGTGATGCTTCGATACGAGTAAAGGATTTATTAAGGACATTTCTAGATTCGAGTCCCCAAAACAGCAAATTCTGCTTTTCACCCTTTTCAATCCATCTGATATGAAGAAATGCGGCCTGTCGTGCTCGAGTCATCGGCGGTGGGATGGCTCTGTTTTTTCAGCCTGGTCAGACACTCTGACATGCACCTCGTCAGAGGCGCCAAAGTTTGTTGAATATTGATATTTTACGAATTACGTAGTATGTTGAAGGTTCCTTGTATTAATTAGCTTAGTGGATATTGGCATGGTACATATGTTGAAATGTCGGCAGTGTACATATTTTGCGATCTTGGCATTGCATATTTTGATGTGTGCTGTGCACATATGTTGTGATGAAGGCGGTGTACATTGGTTGTGCTATGGACAGCGAACGGTACTTAAGAGAACCTCATTTCAGCTATAAGTATTGGCTAACTATGAACGTTCCATCACGTTTTGCCAGTACCTGCCAATCTGAACAACGTTAAATCCTGAAAGTATTGTATTTTTAATTCCACTTCAAATACCTTCTATGAATATATAGAAAGTCATTCATTGATTGTATTAAGAATTAGGGTTACTGGACAATGTATGGAGGTTTGGAATCCAGTAAAATAAATGAGGAATGAACATGTCTTCAGATTTTAGAGTCAAGTCAAAAGTTAATAGTTCTGTTGAGTGGAAGATCTGGGAAGAGAATAGCTCTTCAGCAACCAATGCTTGCCGTAAGAGGCGACTATGCTTGTTGTAGAATTGGGCCTGACGGGAACGGGTGGTCAGGTTCACTAACCTTGTTGATGCATGTCATTGTATCCCAAATGAGTTGATCGATCCTCATTATGTCAGTCACTGGCTGGTCTGGTCCAGAATCGATTATTTACAGACCACCGTCATATAGGTGGGATATTGCTAGGTGCGGCGTTAAACAATAAAAAAACCCAAATAAACAAATTGATGAGTGGTTTTGGCAGATTTCTTTCTCAGTTAGCACCTACATTATATGTGACATTCTTTGATCAAACATTGAATGTAGTGATGCTTGCTAGGGTTATGTTATTTGAGACCTTGTGGGTGGGAACAACAACAACATTTTCTTGTAGGGCTGCTTTACATTGGATGACAGCTGGCTGGATCAGAATGGTTTATCCAAGTCCGTTTCCTCTTGTTCAGTTTGTACATTCTACCAATGACATCATCACGCACTTAACCTACTCTGAAAGACATTCAACATGTTCCTCTTCTCTTTTTGCACATTTGTTTTGCATATGCTTCGACAACATCCACAATGATTTTAATGTTGGTATTAGACTGCTCATAATATTTTGGTCCATATTTGAATAATTGCCAAAGGTTGTTATTGTCTAAAGAGAAGTGAACTGTGATTATATGACCTACAGGGTAGTACCAGTATTACAAGAGTTTGCCACTCACGTATCCCCCGCCCCTGTTGCAGAATTTATGACATAATTAAATCTAAACAAACCCTAACCTTTTTTAACCGAGGTGGAACTTGTCATGGAAATTGTAGAAAAAAGATGAGTTTGGAACCTAAGTCAACCTTGTTTGAAAAAAATATTGAACAGTTTATGAGGTATGCTCCGGAAACGAACCCTACCCTCACAGAACCTAAGTCCATCTTGTTGCCATGGAAACGTAAAAAATAAAAATTTCTAAAATTTCTCAATAGCAAAAGGGACCAGTTCAGCATGTACCTGACAGACCTGCAAAGTTTGATGAAAAAATATTAAACGGTTTATGAGTTATGCTCCGGACATGAACCCTACCCTCACAGAACCTAAGTCCATCTTGTTGCCATGGAAACGTAAAAAATAAAAATTTCTAAAATTTATCAAGAGCAAAAGGCACCAATTCAGCATGTACCTGACAGACCTGCAAAGTTTGATGAAAAAATATTAAACGGTTTATGAGTTATGCTCCGGAAACGAACCCTACCCTCACAGAACCTAAGTCCACCTTGTTGCCATGGAAACGTAATAAATCAAAATTTCAAAAATTTATCAAGAGCAAAAGGCACTAGTTCAGCATGTACCTGACAGACCTGCAAAGTTTGATGAAAAGTATACGGTTTATGAGTTATGCTCCGGAAACGAAACGTGACGGACAGACGGTCGGACGGACGGAGCCCGTTTCTATATCCCCCGCAAACTTCTTTGGGCGGGGGATAATAAGTCTTTGCAGCCACAAGTAGTGGAATTTACATCATGGGCTTCCAAGTCCATGTTCTGCAACACGTAACTGAATAAAATGGATGAAATGGTGTTCGTACAGGAAAATGATTGCACATGGTTAAATACGAAATATTGTGCGACATTTTTGGAAACTGATTTCTGAGAATACTTCATAGATTTAAGGCAATGTCTAGAACTATACTCTCTCGTCAATACCGTAGACTCTTACTATGTGTACACCCATCAGCAAAAGTTGCTGGAGTTATTAATATCTTTCTTTGACAAAGAGGATAGTTCTATTCTATTCTTAACCAATGGTTCCTGAAAGAGTGACAACAAATCTTCAAAGTGAATATTATCATTTGTCCTTATTCCGTTGTAACCATGTCTGCCTTCAACGTCCTTGGGATGCTGGCAACAGACACAACATATGACAACATGACTCATATGCGCTTTTACAAAGTATCAGGAGAGGCTCATAACGTCAACAAATAGATTTAGGCCTTTATTAACTTCTGTAGGTGCAAGGGAGAATGTCGCCCTGAACAAACCAGCATGGATGAGTACAACACGCCGATCTTCACAGCCTGCCAGTAAAGCTGTAGATGGAGTGATTTCTGCAACACACGAGAAGTACTCAGCCCACACAAAGGAGCATGAACCTAAAGCCTGGTGGAAGGTAGACTTACAGATAGATGTGCAGTCAGCACTGGTTAAAATCTACTTCAGAAGAGATTGTAAGTATGACAAGTCTTTGTCATAAATACTTATTAATTGAAAGACATGTCATTACTTCGTTCATTTGTTTAAAATTTAAAATACGTGATATGTATATTTTGCAATATTAACATCGCTTTTTTTTCAAAAACACCGTATAACATGCATGTATTAATCCCTGTCTCTGGATAATTTAATGATTGTTTGAACAATATTTTCATCTTAATTCCTTTGCATACAATTGTAATGTCTTTTTCACATAATGGTCACCTTAATTAATACAGCAATCTCAATGTACCAACGATACACTTTTTAAATGAACATCATTTTATACGACTCCGATTTTCAATTTCTCAATTTCTTAATTATAACCACATTTTAACACCTGAAGTACCTTCTGTACAATATTTTCCTGCATAACATAATTGTTGGAAGAGTTATTTCTTTATTGGATATTTAACTTCACTCACAGCAATATTCCAACTATATGAGGATGACCTGTAAATAATTAATCAGGACTGGTATTATGAGTTGCATACCATTCATCAGGATCCAATTGCTCACAATCAACAAATTAACATGATTCATTAGGTCCCTGTTTACATTCAGGTTGCTTGGGAACTATTCAGCCTGAAACCAGTACGAGGTTATTTTACTGGACGATCATAAACACGACTGTTAAGTTTGATATGAAGACTAAATATAAATATTTGACACAGGAATATGCACATATTTTAAAAACATTTTTAGAAATTCTAAGTAGGAATTTAATTTGGTATACAATTAACATGGCATAAATGTTAAGATTATGACAATTCAAGACTTCATAGTTAAGAACACAATGGGAAGTCAGAGTGGAAAGTTTTTCTTGGTTAACAATTAACAAGATGACAAAACAGTTAACATTGTGACAATGTCAGACTTTATTGTAAACAACGAATTTTTTTCAGTTACCGCTCGACGGAACGGACTTCAACTCTACACCTCGGAAATGAATTCATCTGATCCAAAAGGGGGAGAGCTTTGCCACTCAGTTACTGCACCCTGTCACTGCACAGGCATCCCTCATGTCCTTAATGTGACCTGTCGTGGAACCTGGCGTTTCCTTACTGTCTACACCGAGACGAGTTATGCTGGACAAGGTGCTGTGTTAGACTTTGTGGAAGTACAGGTGTTGAGTAAGTATTGTTCTGACACAATCATTGCAGATAGAAGTAAACGGTACGATTTGTTCAATTTCTTTAATATTTCTGAAACAGTTTGTAGAAATCACTGTTAAGAATATCTGTGTCGTCCTTTTATCAATCGAAATTGTTCGAAATATGAACTATATCGTTCAGAGGCGATTTTAACAGAAGACCATTTTATTGCAAAACTGACCTATTCAAATAGTACAATTGTAATTACATTCAAGTATCAATAGTGTATTCGAGCAACACGTTACAATGTCATTCTTTATTGATCATGCAGCCTTTAATTGTGTTATGTTATTTTATAATGCGAATTGATGTAGAAACTGAAACAGAATATAACCTACAACTAGTTAAAGAAGGAGTGGATGAAATAAGACTGGAAACGAGAATATTCCATTTAGGAATATAGAAAATTACTAAATACATTGAAATCTACAATGTCACTAAAACCCTCATTCCTGCGCATGTTTCTGTGATTTGTTCTTTTCCTGTTTCTGTTTGTATTCATTTGTAGACATTTGTATTTGTCTCAATCCCACAGCATGTCCCACTGGTGATTATGGCCCCGACTGTACCAGGAACTGCAGCTCCCGACATTGCAAGACGCCATCCCCTACATGCGGCTCAATCAGTGGAGACTGTCCAGCTGATGGCTGTCAGGATGGATGGACGGGGACGGACTGCACTACCGGTAACAACTTTAGTCCAATTGTTTTGAATTTGCCAATCCGAGCAGAAATTCATACTCATTTGCAGAAAGAAACGGACAGGCAAGAAGGGGAAAACAATATGTTGCAATCTGCTTCTCACGTAATAATTGACCCTTTTCACATTTTTCACCGAAAATAAATCTCAATGCAAAATTCGACTTTTCGTCTCGAGGTGTACATTCAAGTCATAAAATCCCGTCCACCTCGCTTGTGAGTGAGTTTATTTAGTCACATCGTCAGTATCTCAGCCATATCGTGACTACCTCGCTTGTGACAGATTGAATGAATGAACTCAAATGCGGTTTTAATAATGAAAAGGACATGCTAATTAACGTCATCCAGCTTTCACTCACTCCTACAGGTGCCAGTGTGAATGTCGCCCTGAATAAACCAGCATGGATGAGTACAACACTCCAATCTTCACACTCTGCCAGTAATGCTGTAGATGGAGTGACTACTGCAACACACCACAAGTACTCAACCCTTACCAAGTATCATCAACATCGCGCTTGGTGGAAGGTGGACCTACAGACACAAGTACAGTCAGCACTTGTTAAAATCTACTTCAGAATAGATTGTATGTATGACACACCCATGTGATAGTTTGATGGGAATAAACCCTATTAAGTATAAACATGCTCTTGCTCTTTTCAGTTTAAAAGTAAACACATTGTTTAAGAAAAGGCATTTGTTATATGACAGTGTATTGTTTTTGTTGAGATTGGGTAGTCGCTCGTTGTGTTGTGTTTGGGCCCATATCGGAAGCTTACCCACTGTCACTGCTGGATGAATATATATAGAATACTAAACGAGCTCCCGTGTAATACCAATTTTATGAAACGATTGAATACTTCTGGTATCTGACGAGCAAAAGCGAGTCAGATACCACAACTATTCACAAGTTTCATAAAATTGGTTTTACACCGGAGCGAGTTTAGTATTTTATTTATTACTGGCCATTTATAACGTTTTTATATACTGTTGAGTGTGAATAGGCTGACACCTACACGATCCATGGCATAATCCACCTGTGTTTAACACAGCAATACTTCAAATACGTCAAAAGTTGAAACGTATGAATTTAATACCATGCAACGGTCCACCTTTAGAATTTCGGGTGTCCGTTCCACAAAATTATCGTAGCGTTAAGGTTATCGCAACTCAATTTTACAATCACGTCACAATACCCGATGACGTAATTTGTGGAATTGTGTTGCAAGAACCTTCGGCGAAACAATGCCATGTAACGTCAACCTAGCAACAAGGTTGCTAGGGTCATCGAGTGTACATAAGCTCCTCTCAGTGATCTATCATCTCCACACGCAATGTCGTTGAATAAGCCAAGGGATGTTGAGAGCTTTCAATGTTTGTTAGAGAAACGTGTTCCGAGAGTACATAAGAACGCGTTTTGGTATTACACAATTTGTAATACAGCTGTATGTTTATTAAACGGGTGATCTCTTCACGGGCAAGTAATAAATGTTATTATCACTGACTTTAGCTATCACCATAGTAGTGTCTATTTGATACTGACCACTGCCATCCTATTATTTATTGCCGTTGAATATTGTTGCGACTCTATTGTTTACTGCCATTGTAATTGCTGTGCATTTGTTTGTTTTGATATGTAAACTTTGTGAATTGTGTAATACATTTGATGATTGTATGCCACTTGTTGATTGTTGGTTTCACACTAAGTTATGTTAAGTGCAGATTTCTGGATTAACGTAATTATAGTTTCAGTTTGGGAATCGACACGTAACACATGCACATATGAATATACACTCTGGTGTTGGATAAGCTAATGATTGTTTTAAATATTTGCTCTCATATAATGATAACCTCATACTATTAGATTAAAAAAAGGTGGATGTGGGCAATCTCTTTATACAAAGGATATTTTTTACAAATCAATGACCATCTTTGTAACTCGATCTTTCCATTTGTCTTAATCATTGTAAACCATTTTCAACTTCTGTGCATTGTGTCCATGAATAATTGTGGGAAGAGTTGTTTCCTTATTGGTGCTTAACGTCGCTCTCAGCAATATTCCTATATCATGATGACCTGTAAATAATGACCTAGTGATTGATAGTATGAGCAACACATCCACGTAATTGGTGTACATTTTTTCACAATCAGCCGGTCAACACAATTTAAAAAGTCGCCTTGTACAAGTATTATTGTTTTTTGGGTTGTTGTTTTTTACGGACAGTCACGACTGCTCAATATCATTTGAGCTGTTTCTTTACACAACATATCCACATGGTACAAATTAATTAGGAAGACAACATACGAATATACGGTAAAATAATATTCACACTTTAACTGAAACGTTATTGGGAATTCAGAGCGGAAAATCTTTTAAAAATATTTTTGGAAATTCTAAGTAGGAATTTTCTTTGGTATACATTTAACATGGTATAAATGTTAAGATTATGAAAATTCAAGACTTTATAGTTAAGAACACAATGGGAAGTCAAAGTGGAAAGTTTTTCTTGGTTAACAATTAACAAGATGACAAAACAGTTAACATTGTGACAATGTCAGACTTTATTGTTAACAACGCATTTATTTCAGTTACCGCTCAACGGAACGGACTTCAACTCTACACCTCGGAAATGAATTCATCTGATCCAAAAGGGGGAGAGCTATGTCACACAGTTACTGCACCCTGTGACGGCACAAGTATCCCTGATGTACTGAATGTGACCTGTCACGGGACCTGGCGCTACCTGACTGTCTACACTGAGACACATAATTATGGATTGAGTCCTATGATAGACTTTGCTGAGGTACAAGTGTGGAGTAAGTACTCTTCATTGACGCAAATGGTTGGGTTTATTCCATTTTTTAAATGTGTCTGAAACTTCATGTAGAAATGACTGTTAACAGTGAATGAGTGGGTGAGTTGGGTTTAACGCCGCTTTTAACAGTATTCCAGTTATATCACGGCGTATCAGCTTAATGTGGGAGGAAAGGCCAAAAAGATGCAGGTCTTTGGTGAACCCCACGAGCACGGATATGGTGCTGACAAACCTAGATACATAATCGGGGCGAACCGGGATTAGAACCCACAATCATATGTTTCTGGCGTGCCCAAGGGACGCAACTCTGCACAGCGAATCTCGGCGCCTTAGACGACTGGGCCACACGGACCCTCTGACTGTTAACAAATATCCATCGAAATTTATGAAGCTTTTTATCCATACTATTTTGAATGATAGGTTATGAACGCTAAGAACATTTTATCACAAAACAAAACTGACCTCATCAAACAGTACAATTGTGACAACATTCAGGTTTTAATGATGTATTTGAGGAAAACATTGGATCCAGTGATCTTCGATGCGAATACCAGATTCATCCCAATACTGAGTGCTTGCTGTCAGCACCGTATAATGCTCACGGGCTTCAACAAAGTGATAAAACACACGGTGACCGTGATATAAATTAAATGCAAGGGATACCAGAGATCACCCTGACATACTTGAAACGAAAAATGTTATTCAGAACCGACTGTCAAATGTATGGTGTAAGATCCCGTTGATAATGAAGTCTGGTTGTTTCAATCATTGTATGGAAATGACGCAATTTGGGCTGTGTTCATAATGGTTTTAAAGATTACAATAGCATTTGGATTTAATTGAAGTTATAAATCCTAGAAACTTCTACATAGCTATCCCTCGTGATAAATTGAGAGCAACATTTAATTTTCAATCAACAGGGTTTTGGTGTGCATGAAAATAGTTGGGAACTTGTATTTATTACAATTTTAATGGATGTGGTCAATTTGATAAAACTGAAAGTAACTCAACTCAGAAGTATTCAGAGTTGCAGGAATTCCTGATTGATAGAACATTTAGACAACTCCTCTCCTTGCTGATGTGTGACTATGTTATCAGCTACATACATGTCAATGCTAGAGAAAGATCAGTCTGCATCATCCGACACATTGAAAAGAAAGTTAGTTTCAGGAAAACAGATGACATCATACGTCATTTCTTACAACAATGTCAAGATAGTCACCACCTTATCTATCCACCAATGTTTGAAGTCAAGAACTAGAGTGAGTGAGTGAGTTGGGTTTAAGGCCGCTTTTAAAAGAATTCAATTTATATCACGGCGTGTCAGCTTAATGCGGGAGGAAAGCCCGAAGTGATGCAGGTTTTAGACGTTAACCATTTCTGTGAAACACACGAGCACGGGTATGGTGCTGACAAACCTAGAAATATAATTGGGGCGAACCGGGATTCGAACCCAAAATCATAGGTATCAGGCGTGCCCAAGGGACACAACTCTGCACAGCGAGTGGCGGCGGCCTTGACGACTGGGCCAACCGTGCCTCTGAACCAGCCGAGATACTATAATAGGCATCTTGATCAATGCATAAAATTTAAGCTAGCAACCTCTGTATCAAGCCGTATCACAAGAGGGATGATTTCGATTCTCCCAGTTTGTTTACCCTCCGTGCTTGACAACATACTGACCCATACTGTGACGTTCACATGGAGTTGTCACACCTCCTTACTCATTCATCTTTACTTTAATGGTGACTAGGTTGACAGCATTGCATAGTATCATGGTTCAACGATACTGAACACAGGCTTTTTCTGGTCCAGACTACATTGTTTACAGGTGGCTGTCGGATGGTATGAATCATGCTGTTTGCGATGGACGAAAAAACCTCCCCCCCAAAAAACGCTTACTTTTTTAATAAAAATGTGTCGGGGGCTGCCATGAGAGCAGGGCATGCTTACTCTTTTCGCAAACACTCGGAATGGACACCCATTTTCATTGTCCCTTCATATTACTTTCATCACTATTTTGCCTTTTACACCAAACGGATTCTGTATGGGAAGATAATCGAGACTTATTATTCTCAGGCGTTGACGTTTTGAATTTACCTTTTCAAACGATTGTCATTGATGTTTGTGTCAATGTTTCTCATAGTGCACATATTAATCACATACATACAATTCAGCTTGCAGCTCTGAAAAGTATGGTTATAACTGTGCCAGAAACTACAGCTCCCAGCATTGTAAAAAGTCTTTCCCTACACATGACCGAGTCAGTGGTGAATGCAGTGATGGATGTCAGGATGGTTGGATGGGTTCGGACTGCACTGAAGGTAATTATACAATCTCAAGTGTATGCGTCCTCTGTTTGACAATGATGTTGATGACCATTTTGCATTTCTTTGCTGAAGGAAAGCTTAGATTTTCATAATAATTATGAAAGCCTTCGTTTTTCTGTATGCATGTAATGTATATTCATCTAAATGATGGCAGCATACATTTAAAGCAATGCCATTATTTGATTTCTCAAAATACTTGTTAGCATCATCATTCAGATCCTTCTGATACAAATAGCGATCAAATGAAATAGTAATGTCTCAAATGCTGAGAGAGAAGCGCCGAGCAGCTCAAAACAGATAGGTTGATTATTTGATAAAAGGCTGGGGCAATAGCTATCGTAAAAATAAACAATCTTAAGTGTGCAGTTGCACAATACATACTCTTGACGTTTTTTTTTATTATTCATCAGAGTCCACAAAGGGAAATACTATAATTAGTCACATTCAAATTTCAGAAAAAAAACAACAATTTCATTTTCCTATACGAATTCCATTTCATCCAGGTTGTTCAATTATACGAACGTATTGCAAAACGTGGACTCGGCAGCTCATAATGTAAATTCCACTACTTGTGGCTGCCACGAATCATCACAATGCTACCAACCAGTAGGTAATATAATCACTGGTGGCTTCTCTATTGTTTAAATATGGATCAAAATATCCCGAGTAGCTTAGTATATTGATTTGGGTCACAACTTTAAAATCATTATGGCTGCTGTCGAAACATATGCCAAAAAATTGGCCAAAAGATGTGAAAAATCTGGAATGTCTTTCAAAGTGGGTTAACTCTGCGCGTAGAATGCACAAACGTGAAATAGAGACAACAGAATTGGAACAAACCCGCTCTGTTCCTGCCAAAGTCTGGCTGCCCAACATAAAAACTTTGTAGTTTTCCCACTGGCATGGCCTCACGTTTAATAATCATATGTTATCATTACTACATTACATATTTGATTAAAGAACTTAAGTGACATATCAGATAATGCTGCATTTAAGGTCAGTTTGTTAACTGGGGGATAAAGAGACAAAACCATTTCCATATCCAATAGAAATCAGGCATTGTTTAATTACGACTATACCATGAACATATGTTTATTAATCACTATCAAGTAGTATTGATACCAGGCGATCGCGAAAAGGTGAGCGCATCCTGCCCCACCGGTGGCACCCGTCACAAACACATGCAAAGGCAATTCAATTGTTCACCTGAAAAAAAAACATGGGAATACAACGTGCAAGTCAAAATAGGGAATTGCATCGGACATCATTGTTGTCACTGATGCGTAAAATTTGGAAATGTCCTCCCCATATCTACCACAAAACTTTACTTTACTGAGGGGCGGTCGGGTAGTCTAGTGGTTAAAGCGTTCGCTCGTCACGCCGAAGACCCGGGTTCGATTCCCGACATGGGTACAATGTGTGAAGCCCATTTCTGGTGTCCCCCGCCGTGATATTGCTGGAATATTGCTAAAAGCGGCGTAAAACCATACTCACTCACTACTTTACTGAGGCCTTGAATGTTGTTACATTGATCAAACAACTCCTGAGCAAGAGTTCTATGACTTTCTTTTGAATCTTGGTGGAATGAGCATGCTAAACCTGCCATAACCATGTATCACTTCTATAACTTGACGCTAAGACCTAAAGACATGTCCAGCAATATTTTATACTGGCTTCCAAAGCTCAGAAAAAATCTGTACAATGAGAGATATATTGCTTGGTCCAGCAAATAAACTACCTAATTCCTGTTTCAAAGATTAAACATAATCCTTGATACTGTCAAGGAAGGACTTTCTTTATGTTCGTCGGAAGTATTTGAGACAGGGGGAACTAATTCCATACCATGTGAATTATGAAGAACTCAAAGCATTTGTTTACAGTTTTGCAATCACAGAAATAACTAAGTTCAATGTTCTCAAAATATATGATTTTTAAAACGTTTTAGACCACTATTTCATGCCACATAGCAAACTTCATTCCTTGATCGATAGGGCATTTGTTACTAAACGTGGTTACGTATCCATCTTCAGAGGTTCAGGTCAATTTGTCAGAAATGAAAGCAAATGCCATTTCAAGCTGCTAAGGAAACAATATGTGACAGTATGGACTTGTTCATTGATAAAATGTGATGGTGAGACATTCAGCCAAGAAGTAAGCATCCCCATTCTTGCTGATCTGTTTGTTATTCTCAAGATTCACACGAATGACTTGCTGCTCGAAATGGCAAAGCCAAAACAAGGTAATTTGGCCAAGAAGTTTAACTTAACATTTAGGCATATCGACGATATTTCTAGATAGTAAATCCTTACCTGAATCCAAGTGAGTCCTTACAGCCTTATCCTTAGAAGCTGGAACACAAGGCAGATCACCTCTTGTCACACCCTGTCACCTCCCATATACATTTCACATTCAAGTACTGCCATCTATCTAGGGATGCTAGATGCCAGATCGCACCGGCCCTCCAGTGTATTTTGGCTGTGATGTAATAGATGTAGGGTATTCAAAGGATTTTTCAAACAATAGTTACCATTTTGTATAATTCTAAGAATACTACCTGTTGAAAATCGAAATACATGTATAATGTGATTGGCAGACAAAACGGGAATAGTGGTAATGATGTAATAGAGGTAGTATTCTTAGAATAAAACACAATGATAACTCATGTTTGATTTCTCTCACTCACCGAAAGGTGCCATAATATATTCATAGTCAGTAGACATACACGAATTTGACGTGTTTCTGAATCAGTGTGTGTCTCTGGAAAATACGGCCCTGATTGTGGCAGAAACTGCAACTCTCGCCATTGTAAGACATCTTCCTCTACTTGTGACCGATCCAGCGGAGAGTGTCCAGCAGGTGGATGCCAGGTTGGTTGGATGGGAACAGACTGCTCTGAAGGTTACATTGTATACATATTTTCTAGATAGTAAATCCTTACCTGAATCCATGTTACTCCTAACAGCCTTATCCTTAGAAGCTGGAACACAAGGCAGATCACCTCTTGTCACACCCTGTCACCTCCCATATACATTTCACATTCAAGTACTGCCATCTATCTAGGGATGCTAGATGCCAGATCGCACCGGCCCTCCAGTGTATTTTGACTGTGATGTAATAGATGTAGGGTATTCAAAGGATTTTTCAAACAATTGTTACCATTTTGTATAATTCTAAGAATACTACCTGTTGAAAATCGAAATACATGTATAATGTGATTGGCAGACAAAACGGGAATAGTGGTAATGATGTAATAGCGGTAGTATTCTTAGAATAAAACACAATGATAACTCATGTTTGATTTCTCTCACTCACCGAAAGGTGCCATAATATATTCATAGTCAGTAGACATACACGAATTTGACGTGTTTCTGAATCAGTGTGTGTCTCTGGAAAATACGGCCCTGATTGTGGCAGAAACTGCAACTCTCGCAATTGTAAGACATCTTCCTCTACTTGTGACCGATCCAGCGGAGAGTGTCCAGCAGGTGGATGCCAGGATGGTTGGATGGGAACAGACTGCTCTGAAGGTTACATTGTATACATATTTTCTAGATAGTAAATCCTTACCTGAATCCATGTTACTCCTAACAGCCTTATCCTTAGAAGCTGGAATACAAGGCAGATCACCTCTTGTCACACCCTGTCACCTCCCATATACATTTCACATTCAAGTACTGCCATCTATCTAGGGATGCTAGATGCCAGATCGCACCGGCCCTCCAGTGTATTTTGGCTGTGATGTAATAGATATAGGGTATTCAAAGGATTTTTCAAACAATAGTTACCATTTTGTATAATTCTAAGAATACTACCTGTTGAAAATCGAAATACATGTATAATGTGATTGGCAGACAAAACGGGAATAGTGGTAATGATGTAATAGAGGTAGTATTCTTAGAATAAAACACAATGATAACTCATGTTTGATTTCTCTCACTCACCGAAAGGTGCCATAATATATTCATAGTCAGTAGACATACACGAATTTGACGTGTTTCTGAATCAGTGTGTGTCTCTGGAAAATACGGCCCTGATTGTGGCAGAAACTGCAACTCTCGCCATTGTAAGACATCTTCCTCTACTTGTGACCGATCGAACGGAGAGTGTCCAGCAGGTGGATGCGAGGATGGTTGGATGGGAACAGACTGCTCTGAAGGTAACATTGTATACATATTTTCTAGATCCTTACCTGAATCCAAGTTACTCCTTACAGCCTTATCCTTAGAAGCTGGAATACAAGGCAGATCACCTCTTGTCACACCCTGTCACCTCCCATATACATTTCACATTCAAGTACTGCCATCTATCTAGGGATGCTAGATGCCAGCTCGCACCTGCCCTCTGGTGTATTTTGGCTATGATGTAATATAGGTAGGATATTTAAAGGAATTTTTAAACAATGGTTATCATTGTGTATAATTTCGTAAAACGCTACTTCCGACCGTGTCAGCGGAGAGTGTCCAGCGGGTGGATGTCATGATGGTCGGATGGGAACCAACTGCTCTGAATTGTAACGTATACACATTTTCTAAGGTTGTGAGGGTGTCAAATAGTGTTCTCTTGCTGATCCAGTTACAGTGGTGGAAGGAAGTATGTTTTTTGTCTTGGAAATAAACAACCTTCGCTATTTGATCGTTCATTTTCTAATTTCTCTTAATTTGTATTACATCTATATGGATGGGATTTTCATAATGTTTCCATTTATGCAATGTACGCTACATATATTTCAACGTTACTCTGGAAATGCAAACCTTGCTAATGTCTGAATGCATTTACTTGATCTAGGCTGCCTGGATGGTCAATTTGGGGAAGGGTGTATGCTGGGATGTGCTGACCGGCATTGCAAGGGTACAAGCTCTTGTCCTGCTGATGGTGTCTGTAGTGGAGGGTGCCAGGAGGGATGGACACTAGACAACTGTACACAGGGTATGTTTGTGTGTTGTTTGTGGACAGATCCTACATAACGTTTTTCCATCTGTACAACATAATTCGATTTCATGCGAAATTTACTACATCTCAACCTCTTGTCTTTTAGTACAATATATACTCTTTAAAGAAGTAGGGGATCATTAAATATAAATGTCAATGCCAAGTATTTGAGCGAAGACAAGTGGTGCAATAACACTCAATGCAATAACGTTTATGTATGTAAAAACTTAATCCCCAAAACGTCCGTTTGCACGTGCCTCACGAAGTAACGCCACACATGTGCGTAGAGTGTCATTCCTGATTTTGACACTTTCAAGAATGGTCGATTAATCTCTGTGATTCCGCATATCAGTCACAGAAACTGGCAAGAGTCAGCGTGTAGAGGGCAGTACCTTCAATGTTTTAGTCTGTGATTCACAGACATTTGAACCAACAAACTCAAATGTTGACGATCGAACCCGTTCAGAACGTCCCAGGTCAACGACAAGAGTACTGAATCGATTGATCCAATACAAGGCTCAAAGAAATCAAATCAAGCAAAACAGCGAATCCAATTTCTGCAAAGGTCATCAGGCTACTGGAGTACCAGTTATAGGGCAGCCGATTGCAACGTGTCTACATGCAGCTCATCTCCACCGACACGTGTTGTGAAGGCCAATTGCAAAGCGTGATATTGCCAAGAGACTTTAATGCTGTGATCACGTCAAAACTTGGGTAATCATCGGTGGTCGTGTCATAATTTCAGATTCCCGTTTTGTCTACACTTCCTTGATAGTCGTGGTTGTGTCTGGAGAGGTCGAAATGACCTTCAAGTCAATGTCAACCTGAGACTTCCTGGGAGATTTGACTGTGGATTGGTTATTTTGATTGTTGGCATTACTGTGACTAAGCGTACCATTACATATTGTGAAAGGAATGATCACTGGACAGTACTAACACCCTTTGGTGTTCACTTTGCAAGGCGTGTGGTCAACGTTTTGTCTTTCAGGACGACATGTACAACGCCCGTGCTCGTTGTGCATGAGCCGTCAATGCTTACCTCGATCATTCCAACATCCATAGAATACAATGTTCAACAACAAGCCCAGACCTGGGACATGACAGGAAGACATGTGAGTCAATATCATAGGCCGCCGACAACGTCGGCTGAACTTTGCCAGGTGCTGCAAATCGCCATTGGGAGACCCATAAGCTGATCCCCAAAAGTGGCACCATTAAGTCACTTGATTTCACTGGCGTTCATCAAGATCAATGGCAGTCATAACAACTCCTGTCATACTTTGCTACCGGTCCTAACGTGTTCCCAATTCGTTCCCTATTATCATACATGTACAACAATTACTATTTTGGAAATTTAAAGTTATTTTCGAGCATCCCATTTTTCTTTTGAAGAGTATATAGAACACAAGAAAACTTAACTTTTGTTTTACTATTTTACACGTGTCTGTTTTTTAACAGAATTACAGGTAGATTCTACCCTCACGCGAACTTCTGCTGGCATAATTGGTCTAGCTGCTGGGATTGTCCTCACTCTGATCTTGGCCGGTGGACTCCATGTGTGTCTTGTAAGGCGAGGCAGGTAAGTCAACCCTACACACGCAACCATTTGCCTATACGGATTGTCCTTTGTTAAAGCCACTGTCGTGACTGAATTACGTTTTACATTATACGTCACAGGTTGTTGTGGAGAAACTCATCTCGGGAGGAAGGTGTGAATGTCGTGATGGGATCAGTTCACAGGAACAGTGCACATGAAGTGGACACAGCTGTGTCGGAGCAAGGTGATCCCAACATCTCCAACAGCGACTATGCAGCTCTGGATGTGGAGACAGAAGCTGAGAATGACTATGCCGCCCTCGATGAACGGACTGTGACGTCGCAAGTTTACGAAAATGTATATAAAATATATAGAACAGAACATAAGTCACCATGCTGAAAGTAGATCTGTAACAGCAAACTATACTTGAGATCGATTCTTTTAATCGTCTCATAAAATGTCAAATGTTTTTCTCACTATAATTATTTTTACTTGCGTGCCACATGTTCAAAGATGGGAGGTAGATGGAAAAGCATGTTTACTATCATTATCCATTTAGTGATCCGTTTTTTTCTGGTATGACCACCATTATGAAGATGGAACATTGCTGAGTGTTGCATTGAACATCTAACAAACATCACGAGCAAGTATTCAAATTTTCAAACTTAATACGCTCTAGTTCACACTTACATTCACTAATATAGCCAAATGCACATTTACATCAGATAAATGTACTAATGTACAGATGTACTAAAACGATGCATTTATATGATACCGAGAGGAAATATATGGCACGAAGTATATACTTTGATTTCATGTGGATATCCACGCCGATTGAGTGTCATCACATCGTATATTGGCTATTTGATTAACTGTATCTTTCTCAGACAACGTAACTACATGACCCTGAAGAAACTTCACGCCCGCTGATACAATAACATCGACCATTATATAAGTCGTTTTGCCAGTTGTCAAGATTCCTGTGTATATATGTGCTTCTTTACAACACAAACTCACTCAATTACCCATCATATATCTCTTGTCATACTTACTCATTTCACCTCTGCATGACATAAATGTTAGTAGGCCTTTGTATTCACGGCTTATCGCCCATATTAATAGTAAAGCTTGTTCATTGTGTTAAATGTGCGCTAATTTTATTCATGTATTTTGTAGCATCACATGTTTATCAAAATGTCCACAGTACCCAAGAGCAACCTTTATATAGAACCTTATATTTTCTGAAAAAGAAAATGTTTATAATTGTATCTAGAGGACCAAACCCATTCCACTGCAGTGTGAGGAAGAATGAGCACGACGCTACCCCATCAAACGAAACAATGAAGTTCCAACGTTGTGCAGATTATCCCATTATAAACGAGGAGCTGCATGCAAAGATTATGATTACATTAGCCAAACTTATTAACTTTTCATAAGGATAATTCCAGATTGGGGGAAATATCTGACAATGTCTCTCATTTGGCGCAAGCAGCCAGCAGCCACACACTACTGTATTTAGTGCGGTTATAAAAACCTCTCAAAACAAATGTTTTCAATGTCTTTATATTTTTTCATGGAAAACTGTTGTAATCTGTCGTAAATAAAACGCCTACAAAACAAGATAGCTCATTTCCTTTTTTGGCATGCATTGACGTTCGCCCACCACACAAACAATTCTTCCACATCCGGGAATATTTGGGATAGATCCCGCTTGCATGTTCGTGGATGTCGTGCTTGTCACGAGGAGCGACTACAGAGCTCAGATGGCCAGGCTCGGTGACTTGGCAGATTGTGTGCCCCAATGAGGCAACGTTGTTCATACTTTTTATTATGCCTTTCCAGGTTGCCGTGATATAGTTAGGATACTAATTACTGTGGCTTTACATTGTCATGTATACACATAACCTAGTCAATCATACCTTACCAAGGACCTAGTTATTCAAACCGAGGACCTAGTCAATCATTCCATCCCCACTACCGAGTCATTCGTATCTCGGGAGCAAGTCACTCATACCCCAGGACCTATTACTTCATAGCCAGGACCCACTCATTCCTAGGCCGGCAAACCCGGAACTTTGTTATTCATAATCACGGGACCCAGTCAAACATACCCCTAGGGACGATTCAACAATTATTCCACTGACATATATGTCAATATGAATAATCCTCCATAAACATCTACACATTTCCTACGTTTGTGCGGATGTGTTTGTTCCTCAAATGTGAATATTTTTAGCTATTTATTTAAAACTAATAAGAAACATCCTTGGTCTCCTATTACAATTAAGATCTAGGATACCTAGCGATTTGACCGTGCTTAATTGAATTTGGAACTTTCAAATTCCAAGTTTAGCGCGGTTAAATCTACCTAAACTAGCTCCACTTTGAAGACAAAGTACAATTGTCTGTTTGTAATATGACATAATTTAACGTGTCAGGGAAGACACTGAATGAAACAAAGTATCTGATGCACCACTTGTAAATGTATCAAGGGTTCTGTGTATTGTTTTGTGTGTCCATACTTTCATTGCTCATGTCCTAAACATCCATTTGATAACCACATATACACAACCATACTACTGACTCACAAAAATGCATGGGCACATTGAAGTAGCAATATTAATTAAGATTCACATTTAAAAAAAAATATTTCAATAACTTATCACAATAATTTTGGCTATCATGTCATGTTGTATGATTAATGTATTTTGAGTATGTGCATTTAAGGCATTATGAATACATTCGCGCATATAGCAATGCAACAAACATTCTCCATTTAATTGTTTTTCAACGTGTTTGAATAAGTATAATTGTCCTCAACATAAGACTAAGAAAGTAACATAAAGACTGTATAAACACATGTCAATTATGTCAGGAAAAAAACAAAGCGAATTAATCGAATGTGCGAGGGAGGAGAGATATAACAGATGAGTGTCATTCATGGCATCAACTATCATTGATCATTGATTTATTGATTCATTAAACTGCTAATGGTGCAAGGATGCAATAAACCTGGCCATTGAAATTTGAAGGAAATGTTAATTTAAAACAGATTTTATTATGAACTTGATTTGGAATACAGCTTGGGTGATGCAACTTATTTACACACACACACACACACACACACACACACACACACACACACACACACACACACACACACACACACACACATATATATATATATATATATATATATATATATATATATATTCAAAACAAACTCAAGGAAATGGGTGGAACTGGATGAGTTGGTAGTCAAACACATTCAAACAAACGTGAAAAAAACAGATAACAATAAATCAAAACATCGTAAGATAGCATAAATCTATTCAGAAGGATCACGTGTGCAGCTTCAAAGCGTCACTGGTCATGCTGTTTGGTTGTTTGTTGTTTAACACCGCACTCAACAGTATTCCAGCAAAATATGGCGGCGGTCTGTAAATATGGTCTGGATCTGAAAATCGAGTGATTGACGTCATGAGCATCGATCCACGCAGTTGCGATACGATGACAAGCATCAACCAAGTCAGCGAGCCTAACCATCTGATCCCGTAAGTGGCTTCTTACGACAAGCATAGTCACCTTTTATTGTAAGCATGGGTTGCTGAAGACCTATTCTAACCCGGATCATCACGGGTCACTGGTCGTTCAGGTATATAATACATACACTGACTGGTTTATCTGTATACATTCAATTTACAGTTTTTCTATAAAAATGGTGTCTTCACAGGGCTTAAATGCTGCATTCTCAATATGCACACCGATGTTATATGTGAGGAAGTCAAATTTGATATAATATCCTGAAATTTTGAAGAGAGATAGAGAGACTGAACTAACCTATGGTCGCCATCCCTTCAGGGACAAATACCCCAAGCAAACATTATATCACGAGTCAATAATGTATGATTTTGGCTCTGTTAAGCTATATTGATACAATGTATGTCACGCTCGCAAATAACATGTAAACTAACGGTGACAATTATATGAATGGATCACTGAAAATACGTTTCCTGCTCTACCGGTGACACCCACCGCTGACACAATTTACATACAAATGCAGATGCTTGTTTGTTGCCTAACGCCGCTCAGCATCTTATCCAGCAGTCACACATGTCAACCTAAGTATGTGTAGCCCATATTGTCACCTTGTAGCTGCATACCATGATCAGTGTTATTTGAGTTAGTGTTACATGAGATAAGATCAAACCATTCCATGATCAAAACTACCTTAAGCTTTAGCCTCTTGAAAGAACACTTTAAATTATACTGACAATCGCATGCTAACGATTTCATTATATCTTCCATAATCTATTAAAGCATTACAAATGTCATCAAGGTACAGTTTAATAGTTAACTGCAGTGTGTATCCCTACACACAATGCGCACATGTTTCAGATGCTGACATCATTGATAGAACTTGACTTTTCTAAATAAAACGTGCACATACATGTGGATGTGTACAGATACAGCTGAGCTGGTACTAAACGTGACAGGATACGTAATTCATAGAACAGACAGAAGACCCTTTTCTCCGATTTGATTGTAGTCATTCACTGTGTTGTGAATGACATTATACTGTTTCATCCTCCCCCTCTCTCTCTCTCTCTCTCTCTCTCTCTCCCCTCTCTCTCTCCCTCTCTGCGTAAGCTGGAATCTCTCCGGTGTAGCTTCAGCCAGTGTCGTCGCTCTCCTCTCTGTATGGCCTGCGCCACTTTTTCATTCTAATATGGAGTATGGTATAATAGGTGCCTGTGTTTATGCTACAACGTTAGGCAACAACGTCAAAATACAACATATTTAACATTGCAAACGTTATGAAAAGTTAACTTTCGGACTTTAACAGACATATCACCAACCCAGCAATCAGAAACAGTATCACAGCCATTACGACTGCTCCGCTAATGACGTCACTTGTAACAGGAGACGGGATAACATGCACATTCACATTAGACTGGTACTTGTGAATAATGTCGTCCGCATATGACAATGTAAACAATATAAAGTAAAGAACATAAAACCTGTTTCTCGAAAGACTTGGATAATATCCATCAACCTTACTACGTGCTAATAAGACAATAAATGGCACGATTTGTTCATATTCTGAAACCCCATGTAAGGAGAGAAGGCCAAGACGAGATTCCAACCTCTGGCATCCACATCACATCGTTCCCCATGAAACATCACAGCATTTTTGGTCACTGGACATTTTAACTTCTTTAGAAATTCGATAAAAAAGATTATACTTTCGGCAAGGACTTGAGACTTCAGCGATGGAGACTTCAGCAGTGTGGAATAATCCAAAGCAAATCAGTGGAACTGAGATGAGGTCACCACAATGCCTGGATTCCAGGCTCCTTTATCAAACAATTTACATGAGTATATGCTATTAATTGTCAATTTAAACAAATTATTAAAAGAGGCACGTATATTACTGTCACACTCACATACGTGACACCTGTCTCCCCTCCAGCCGTCCTGACAACATGTCCCGTCCGTCCCGCTGCATACGCCACCTATACATCCTTCTCTGCAGGCTTTCCTGCACCCCGGGCCGTACGCTCCAGCCTGAAGACATGCACATAAACATGTCGACCTTCTCTTAATTTGTAACGATAGCCATAGCTTTGTATGAGTAGATATGCAAATTTAATCACGCATCTTCACAAAGAAATGCACATTAATGCCCCATTCGCATGTTCAGACTGTGAAAGAGTTGTGTAACCTGAATGTCCTTTTCCCGACTGTGAAGCCAAGGGTTTTCATGACAAAATATTAGACCCGTGAAGATCCGGGGTAGGATAGGTCTTCAGCAACCCATGCTTGCCGTAAAAGAGAACTTTGCTTGTCATAAGAGGCGACTAACGGGATCGGGTTGTCAGGCTCGCTGACTTGGTTGATGCATGTCATCGATCCCAATTGCTTGGATCGATGTTCATGATATTAAGCACTGCATTGTCTGATCCAGACTTGATTATTTGCAGACCACCGTCAAATAGATGGAATATTGCTGAGCGCGGCAACAAACACACAAACCAACCATTACAAAGTATACTAGCCACATAAAGAAACTGTGCACGGAGAAAATATAGATATAAGGGCACACCGTACATATATGAAATATAGGTTTGAACACAGCAATTATTGGAGACATTCAAACGCTCATGCACGTGCCATGCGATATGACGTCATTGATGGGGGCCGATGGACGTGCAATGTGTTACTGCAAGTGCATCCTGTGCAGCTGTACACAGCATGTGCAACTCAAAATTCGCTGTCACTTTGGAAAGCATGATCTGTGGTCATTCAAAAATTCAAAACTTCTCAGGCGCAGACACAGGCATATCACAAGCAAATCATGCCAAGATTGACAGCTGCCGAGCGGGAATGAGACAACAACAGGTGGCAACACATTTCCAATGCAATCGTATCACGATATCTGCATTGGTGAGGCGTAATCAGCACACAAATGACGTTGCCGACCACCCACGTTCAGGACGTCCCCGAGTAACGACGCCGAGACAGGATAGATGGATTCGAGTTACACATCTCCGAAACAGGTTCCAAACAGCAGTAACGACGTCCCAGACAATTCCTGGCC